GTATGATTCCCCAGTGCTCGAGAGCTAATTAGATTTAATTAATGTGCCCCAAAACGCCAGAGTGCCCGAGCCTAAACCGATGTTAAATTGTTTTTCTTCCCTGGTTGTCTCTCCCCTCCCAAGTATTCTTTGACGACTCTGTTTCTGTTTCGTTTTCCGCGTGTTTTGTCTTCGCATTCGGATTCCTTCATTCCATTCCACATGCCATTGCCAAAGTATTTCTATTTTTGTTGTTCTACGTCAATTTGTCGCTTGATGAATTACGTGGGGGGATTATGATAAGAATTATTCCAGTGCCCCTGTGGGAAATGGTCTTATTAAACGGATCTTTTAATTATAAATTAAAATGTGGAAAATGTTTGCAGCTTGTAGTCTTTTCTTTTAAAGCTTCCTGATTCCTGTTCAATACCTGTTCAGACCTAGATTCCAGCATATAAGAAGAATTTGCTTGGAAATCCTTCAATGGCCTCGAATGGTACCCTTTAAACCTTGACTTTTAGATGGTTTTGAAAAGCACCTTTAAGACTCTTATTCCTTTCCATTTTCCACAACTTTTCCACACCAAACTCTTCCAAATTCCAAACGAATATTAAAGATGCACATCAATTGCCATTAAAGGAGCTGTATAGAGGGTATTTCAGTCAGAATGATTTTCGATAAAACTAGACGAAACAATGACAAATAAATAAACAGAGATTCCCCCCTGGGGGGCTGTTTGTCTGTTGATTTTAGCCAACTTTTAGCATAAATATTTATACAGTATTTATTTGCTTTTATTTGCGTTTTGTTACATTTGTTTGCCATACTTTTGTATCTTTGTATGTCGCCCCAAAACCTATCAATGCTGGCAATATGCAGGAAAATATTCTCACAAACTGAAAAACAAAATTTAAGTCTTCCTTCTCGTCTCCCTCTTTGCATTTGCCCATCTATCGCTCGCTCGTTCGCACTGTAGTCGAAACTTGTTTGACTTTTGCTGTATTTTTTGTTGGGTTTTATTTTCGTGTTGTTTAACGAATTTGTCAAAGCTGCTTCGCAACTTCAACTCCGTGTCGCTGCTGCTGCTGTCGCTGCTTCGGTGCTGCTGCTGCTGCTTCGGTGCTGCTGCTGCTGTTCATTATTTTCGTTGTTCGGAGCAAAGTAGAAGCGCGAAGACAGGGACGACAGCGACGAACGAAACGAAGTTTGCCAACAGTGATGACATCATCGTCAGCTTAAAGTTTCTTGAAGTCATGGCAAATGACGCTATAACGCTGTTAGACGAATGAACTCCAACAGATCCAAAAATAAAAATAAAAGAATTAAGCAAACGACCGAAACCGGGAATATAATGATGAGTGGCCTCTAATCAAAAGTATCAATTCACTTTGTAAAGTTTTTAGAATATATAATTTCAATGAAAATTAAATATTCCATGAATTCTCGTGTGTATCAGGTACTGAATATTCACTGAATATTTAAACATTTTTGGCAAAAATAAATTGCCCAACTTTAATCTATGGAACACATACACATGTACATACATACATACATGTTAATGTTATAATGAACAAAATCCTATCCAACTCCTGTTTTTAGTTAATTAATATTCGCACAACAATTTCAAAGCGTTTAATTTTTGAACAAAATAATGTACAAAAAAAACAATTAAAACAAAGTTTGGCTTTCGATTAACAAATTTGTTGCTTTGCGATACAAAATATTCACCCGTAGAACGGGTTTCTGTTTTTTTATAACTTTTGTACAACCTAAAAAAATATAATTTTTTTTCTACTTCTTTTAAATTTTTGTGGCTTTTTGCATTTGGTTTTTATTTACGAGCATTTTTGTGGAGGTTTTAAATAAACTAAATAAAATGTGGTCGAGTGCATAGTTTTTCGAGCAATCCCTTATAATTATAATGGAGGATTAAATGATAAAACATAAAAAAGGGAGCACTAAAAACTCTAAATATTATACAATAATCGAGTCGATGTTCGGGAACCCCAATCCTCAAAAATCTTGTATTCGAATCGGATAACAATTTGTATAGGAATATGGGAACGATGTACCAGATCTGGCTTTTGTTCTTAAATTTGATTTCATTTGATTTGCATGTTCTGCTGCAGATTCTTGGGAGCTGTATGGAAAAACTTGTTGGGACAGAATTTACATATCATTTTTGCAGCCACTCTCTGTTACTCTCTCTTTCTCTGTCTCTCCTTTGGTACTTGCATAAGTTAATTTCATGTTTATCTTCTGCCGAATTCACAACCAGAAGTCTGAAAGTGCCCAGGCCAAAAGGGAGTATTTTAAATGGCGGTGGGAAATGGCTGTACCCGAAAAGTATGCTAAGAAAAATAGCAGATACTTTTATTCCTACGGGAATGAAGAGCAGAAAGCCGGCCACATGCTCGAAATCGGAGTAGCATTACAAATATCCTCAAAGAAGTAAATTTCCAAAAGGCAAATTAATTCCAGAGAAACAAATTCGATTGCTCTAATTCCTCGATGCCTGCGCAGAAACGTGATTTTAGTGGCGTTTTAATTAAAATTGCATTTAATCCCTGTTCGGGAGAAGTGTCTGCGCATAAACGAGTGAAAGCCAACAAACAGAAAACGAAAAACAGAAAAAAAGCGTGCAAGAAATGTGAGAGAGTCTTGGCAAAAAGAAGTTCTCTGCTTTCGCATGCAATTAATTTCGCAGAAAGTTTCTCTGTGCAAAACGAGCATGAATGTGCATGTATGTACATACATGGCTGCTCAAAGAAGGGGTGGGGGTGGGGGAGGGTGGGAGGTGGATATTGTTTAAATGCTGTCAAAACTTTAAGACCTTTTTCTAGCCGCAAACCTCTCAATCGAAGTGCAAAGAGAGAGGCGGACAGAGGCGGATGTGTGGATGTGTGGATGCATCCACCTGTTTTATGTGCATACATTATCCGCTCCATTGGGCTTACGGTGTGTGTGTCTGTGTGTGTGTGTGTGTGTGTGCAACTTAATCATCGCTCAACCACACCGCTGCAGCACTGATGCGAAACGGATATGAAGTTTTGGCTGACTTCCTCTCAATATACCCGTACAAATCCCGCACACATTGCCTTGGCACTCGTTAAGGACTGCCAAAAGGCGATTGGCATCCAAATTTTGTGTTTATTTTGGCGAGGAATTCGAGGAGTAACTGCTGCTAAAGAATCGCCTGCTTGTGGCATATGCAGCGATGCAAATCAGGGCAATATTTGCCATCATGCATCATGCGAGTTGGCCAGCTCTAAGGCAATTAAGTCCGCCTTGGTTGGCCAATTAAAATGTGGCCAAAAGAGACAGACAGACAGCGAGAGAGAGAAACACAGGCACTGCGCATAATTGAATCATAGGCAGGCGGACATTGCCTTCTCCCTCGTGCACTCAATTATGCTGCAACGTCGACAGCCAGAGATTTACTTAATTATGTCGCAGGCGGGCAAACACAGAGGCCCACACACACCCACACATGCACAGGCACACACACTTAGAGCGAGAGGAAACCGTAAATAAACACGCGCGACGCGACACGACGCGACACGACGCGCTAGTTCTGCGTTTTCAATGCAAAAAAAAAGAGGCGGGGGGAGAGGGGAGGAACTGCAGCAAGCAGAAGGAAGAAGAGGGGCAAGCAGTGTGCCGTGGGCTTTTGCGGGACGAAGTTTTAGATACCCTTGCGGGTCCGCTTACAATAGGAAGCATCGGCAAACGGGCACGAGACACGAATGAGACACGAATAGAGGCTGTTTGACCCGAAGGAGATGTAACATTTCATACCTTATATCCTAATGACCGAATGAGACTGATGCCGTACCCTTACTCTGCTCTCCTTTACCCTTTACCCTGGATAAAAAGCGATGCGCTAAAGAAGGAATTATAATTACAAAATGTAAAGCAGGCACTTGAGACACGCGCCCCCCAGACAGACAAGGAGCCATTCGAGGGATCGTCAGCCCCGACCCGAACCCCACCCCACCCAACAGCGGCATTGCTCCATCGAAAGGTGCCACGTGGAATGTGGAATGTGCCTAACGAGCTTGGGCGCTGCAGACGGGGCGGCCAGCTGAGTTATGTGGCAGCTGATGAATGCAAACAAAGAATGCAAGGAATAAATCGAGAGAAAAAATGGGAAAAACACGCCAGAAACAAATAAACTAATGGCCCCCAGAACCATAGATTATAAAAAACGTAACCATTTCTCATGGGCCTGCTGATGTTAAGTAACACTGAAATCTAGTTGGATCTTTAAGCTAACGATTGAGGATGCTCTAAGGCGATGGCTACACAAAACCACATCACGCCCCAGGGGGAAGTCCTTTGCATAACACCCACTCCACCCACTGGTGTTTAAGGGGGGTCAGGCTTTGCAATTATAATTCCATTCAACCCCGGCCACAGGGAAGCCAAAGGCAAAGGCAAAGCCGATCCGGACGGAGAGGGACTTGTGGAGCTGTGGCTCCTGTGCATAACTAATTTGGCACGGCATACTTTAAGGCGTAGCCGTGCATTGAGCGACAAATTAACGCGCCATTAATGACACGCGATGCTTGGCGGGGGAGGCGGGGGGGGGAGCACTTGATGAGTGGCGAAGGAACTTCCGCCCGTAGAGGCTGCCCTGCTCCTTCCGTTGCGCAGCGGAAGCTGCGGTAACGCCTCCTCCGAAGGACTGCGCCAAGCGGAAAATTAGGCAACAGCTCAGGCTGCGGCTCCAGCTCCGGCTCAGGACCAGGACCCGGCCCATTGAATTATCGCACTCAAGAGGGGACCACGAGATAGACCGCCAGACAGGCATAGACAAACAGAGGAAGGAATAGAGTCATTTGGTATTGGCAGTCGAAAGGGGGGGGTGCCATTCAAAAAGCAATTGGAGTGCACTCCCAGTGCAGCTGCCTCTTTGCCACTGCACTCCACTGATTAGGCAATCAATTGGCAATCATCACTCGGGCATATAGCCATTAGCTCCATCCACTTACCCACTCCCCGTTTGCCTCTCGTTGCAGATCATTCGCGAACGCCTGCCGGACTACCCGGTGCGCAGCAGCCTGGTGTGGAACAGCTCCCCCGGCGCCCTGCTCACGCTGCCCACCTTCGCCGACAGTTCCAGGTACGAGCCATATGCCTCCTCCATTCGCAAAATATAGTATCGATAATCCTCCAACAGATTCATGCCTTTCATGCTCAATTCGATGGGAGCGGAGCCGCGGCACAACTACACGGCCGTCATTTATGTGCAAATTGGAGCCGCCATGGGTCCCAATGCGGCGCTCTACAAGCTGGTCAAGACCATCACCAAGAGCCAGTTTGTGGATCGTGTAAGCATTTCCACCATAAGCCCCCGCCCAGATGGGTAGCAAAGATCTTCATGCACTCTCTCTCTCTCCTTAGATCCTTGTACTGTGGGCGGCCGAGCGACCGTTGCCGTTGAAGAAACGTTGGCCCCCCACCTACCACATACCCCTGCATGTGGTGGCCCTGGGGGGCAACACTCGTATCGGGGCTGGGGCCGGGCCGACGGGCCAAACGACTGAGGAACGACCGAGCATATCACAACGCTTTGTGCCCTACGATGAGATACAGACGGACGCTGTGCTGTCGCTGGACGAGGACGCCATACTCAATACGGATGAACTGGACTTTGCCTACACCGTGTGGCGGGACTTTCCCGAGCGCATTGTGGGCTATCCGGCGAGGGCCCACTTCTGGGATGACTCCAAGGTGAGCTGGAGCGGTGCGGTGTGATGGAGTGACCAATAATCGAAACGCCAATCCATCCATTGCAGAACGCTTGGGGCTACACGTCCAAGTGGACGAACTACTACTCGATTGTGCTGACGGGGGCGGCCTTCTACCACCGCTACTACAACTACTTGTACACGAACTGGCTGTCGTTGCTGCTACTAAAGACTGTACAGCAGTCCTCCAACTGCGAGGATATCCTAATGAACCTGCTGGTCTCGCATGTGACCAGAAAACCGCCGATTAAAGTGACGCAGCGCAAGGGCTACAAGGATCGGGAGACGGGCCGCTCCCCCTGGAACGATCCGGATCATTTCATACAGCGCCAGAGCTGTCTGAACACCTTTGCAGCGGTCTTTGGGTGAGTTTCATCTCTGTACCCCGTACAGATATGGATATGAAACTAATTTGTATGATTTTGCAGCTATATGCCGCTGATACGTTCCAATTTGCGTATGGATCCCATGCTGTACCGTGATCCAGTTTCCAATTTGCGCAAAAAATATCGTCAGATTGAGTTGGTTGGCAGCTAGCGTTATGTGAATTCTGGCAATAGCTACAAGCGTTAATAGTACTGAATACACCACACACACACACCACACACACACAACAGACACACACACATACACACACTCATAGCCATTTAGAAGAAATTAATGCTGTATGCAAAAAACTATGTTAATTATTATTAATAGCGAAACGAGAGACGAGACGACGCGAGACGAGAAGTTAGTTAGGATCCTCAGCGGCAGCAGTATGTATTGTGTGTGTAAGCATTCGACGCTGCGGTTATGCATGTGTATGTGTAACAGCAGTGTGTGTATATATAATAGGACTCTGAATACGATACGATTAGCCATGTACGTAGTTGTAAAACTGCCAGCGGCAGGAGCAGCAGCAGTCGATATTGCCATCGTTTTATGCTAATTTCAAATTAGCCAAACTGCTAGACAAGAACTTTTTCTATATGTGTATTATGTGTATAACTCTCTATCTATATCAATATCTGTATCTGTATCTGTATCTGTATATCTGTATAATCTGTGTGTATAGTTGCGTATGTTTTTGTACCGTGCGCGTTGAGTTTTCTATGTATTTGTAAATGTTTGTCGCCTGTCGCATTGTTGCCACTCTTTGTGTATGTGTAGCTAGTGTTGTAAGCCCATGTAAATGTGTGCGTGAACGCCTCTCAGTTTCAGTTGCAGACTCGAGGCTCCATCCAATTCCTTAACGTCTAGTATCCAATGTAAATTCAACGTCAAATAGCAATAGCAAACAAAAAATAGCTCCATTCGAGCAGCCATTCAGTCAAGTGTGCACAAAAGCCAGAGGAGTAGCTTTAGTACTATGTTTAGCAATATTAAGTTTAAGGTTAACTTTAGTAGCTTTTTCATTTCCACTTTGTTATGTGCAATTCGTATTTGGACAACTCAGCTTTTAGTTTGTAATTCGTGGCCATCAGCAGCAGCCATCAAGATGCAATCAACTTTTTAAAAACCACTCGCATATCAGATGAAATGAGACGAGAAGAGAGATTTTTTGTGTTAGTCTAAGCCAATCTATACGTGCATATACTATATCAAAAGTATATACATATATCTATATACATATTTTTTACCACAAATATACACAACAAATGCCGATGAACAGTTTTGTACAATTTTTATTTCCTTTCTCTTCTTTTTTTTATTTTTTTGTAATATTTCGTTTGGAATTCTATTTTCTATTTTAGCCTTTTTCAAGTGCGCAGGGCAATAATCGGAGTGGAGTGCAAGATGAAATCCGCTACAAATATATAGCTTCAACATATCAAAACGAGTTGGGTGGGCCACGATGCCACGATGGTTCGATTGGATCCAGTTGGAAAATGACTGATTGGTCAGCGAACAGCGGCAAATATTTGAAATAAATCCATTTCGAATGGAAATCGACCTTCAACGAATGAACCAGTTTCAGGGACTCAATTAAAAGGGTCGTTACAGTAACAGTTTCAGGTACAGTAGGTACCCGCACAAAACGAGGACTTTTTTGAATGAGACACAGACGTTTTGGATGAATATTAATCTCTCAATCCAGAGTCTCTCAAGTTTTTGTTTACCTTCAACAAAAAATAGGAGTTACATATCTTTTGTGAGATAAATGAATCAGATCTCATCTTGAGGATGTTCGGCGTCTTCTATGCTTGTACGGCCAGGAAATCACTTTTTTATAATTGAAATTGAAGGTGCAGAGTTATCAATCTTGGCCTTGGTTTGAGGGATATTCTGCCAGTAGAGACCTTTCAGTTAAGAGGCGGGCCAACCCTTTGAACCACCCTCATATGAAATTGTGGAAGTACACCCTACTATACGGCCCACGCGTTCGTTTGAGGTGCCTACTGATTCAGCTATCTCCCGCTCCCTTAATCGGCGAGGCCCACCAAAAACTGACGTTGAAACTCGCTAAAACCATTTTCGACGGTCGCCATCGAAGGACACGAGTCACCGTGCACAGAATCCAAGCCCTTTTTGATTTCGCTGCGCGATTTCCCTCTTTTTCCGGACAAGTCGGCTCCCAAACGTGGTCGAAAAAGAACCACTAGGCCGATTCGGCTGAAATTTTGACAGTAGCCGGCTAAAAGAATGAACTACACGATAGTTAGTAAATCTCTTTTGCGAAACTGCCAACATCGGGCGGTGAGACCACCCTCGTATTCGTTCAAATCAATCTCGTGAACCCCTTCCAACCATCCATCTTTGAGCTGCTGAGCTGGTTCTTCGTACCAAATTGAAATGAAATCGTATAATGCCAAAAAGTAATGGAATGTTGCCCAAAACTCGGCAAACTCTTGACTGCCAAACAGCAAAATTGTTTAACATTTATCAGTCAAAAATGTATGCTTATCGGGGTAATATGTATATGTCACTATATCTATGGGTGTGTGTGTGTGCACAAGTATTGGCATGTCAGAAACAGATAGAGAGACAGACGGACGGACAGACAGGAGAGACGACAAATGCAATGAAATGTTCCCTATCCGCATGCACATAAATCAAATCAAAAATGTTTGCCGCTGACTACGAATAACAATAATACTCAAAAATGCCAGATAAATGGATAAATGTACATGCATGTATTTGTGTGCTGTGCGGCGGCCCAAGGCGAAGGATGTGCACCACACAGATACACACAGGCACGCACACAAATGTATCTGAAAAATGTGTAACTGAGGGAATTACCAGAATTTTTGTACAGTGTGTTTTATTTTTTGTATATAATTGTATTTGTGGATTTGTATTTGACACAACAGCAAAACAAAACAAAACAAAAAACACACACAGAACAACAGACAAAACTGCACTTTTTATACAAATTTAAAAACATAAACTTAGGAGACAAGACAAAAAAACACTTGACCAAAAAATACTCAAAAAGGCTCCTCGACCCCGCCCCGCCCACACAAAGAAACAAAATCAAACCTAAAAAAAAAATAAAGAAGAATAAGGCCAAAAGAACGCATTGAAAAATCCGTTAATTAATAAACAATACACATAACATAATTTAAAAAAAAATGGTAATCAAACTTATTGCAAAAAAAAAGAACATTAAACTTAAGTCCAAACCGAAACAAAAAATTCAATGGAATGGAAAAACGAATATGAATGTTGTGATACGATTATCCCCGAAATCCTCCCCCCACCCCCCACTAATAGGATATCCCTCCATCAGTCCCCATCCTGGCCCCATATGCAAATACGTTATGGGGATAATTGTGCATAATCAATTATTTTGCCGCATTAACTGGACAAAAAGAAACCCATGAATCGCATGAATCCCATGTGTTTTTCAATAACACTCGTATAAAAAGAGTTTATTTTTTTTTTGTGCGACAAGGGAGTAAAGAGAAGGCAGGGAGAGAGCACGTAACGTTGAGGGTAGTTCGAATTGGAAAATAAATAACGAATTACCTATTCGAAAACGATGTGCACTTTAATTAAACGAATCCCATGGAAGCTCAAGAGCAGCTTCGGGGATTGAAGTGGACTTCTCACCTGCTTGTCGATGGATCTGCACCTTTCGATGGGCATTGCAAGGCCTCGGGCCTGACAGAACTGACAATAAATTAAGAAAAGGAAGGCCTGAACCAAGTTCCCTTTTATTACATATGATTATAGCCCCAAGTATCGTTTCGAAGGGGAGCTGAATGCTTCAATGAACACATATCTGAGCTTAAGAATGATTACCCATCCCCAACCCCCCAACCCCCCTCCCACATTGTCGTGCATATTCAAGGACCCATCAATGCCTTTATTGCAATTAAATCTGTTGAAATGCGCTGCAGGGCGATTCTCGAATGTTAATTAATTCCATTTTTGCGTTTTTGTTATTGTAAATTCACATTTGAGATAAATGAATGTGCAGTGAATGATTTGCATGGAATCTGGTTTTCTATTTGTACAGGAAATAAAAAGAAAACAATGTTGTAAGCTGCAGCTGAAATGAAAACATGCAAAACATGAGTAAATAAAATACATAAATGTGCTTAAACCTATTGCCTAGTGAAGATTGTTAAAGCTTGAGGCATATTACACAGCGACAGCCACACAGATACACACTTAAACACCCACACACACACACATGAACTAATGTAAATTACATAACGAAACAGCATATACCATATAATATTGGCAAAGCATCGCATATACATATATATAACTATATATATAGGTATATATATATATATATGTATCTACCTACGTATTTATGGCAAACAAGAAATGTGATTTTTGAATAAAAATTTAAATGAAACTCAACTGTTATCTGTCTCTCAATTAAGCAGCTAATGTATTTTCCATTCGACAAGCTCGGCAAGGAGCCGCCCCACCGTGGGGGAGGCAGGAATGCTCCTGCGACACCTTGAGCCAAAAGTTGTGTGTGTGGGGGCGAGGGGGGGGCCGAAAAGTTTGCCAAGGAAGGAATTAGCGAGAAACTTTCGAGCGAGCACAAAATTTCATTGCCGTAAAATGCGTATCCATGTTTCTAGTTTTCTTAGCTAAACGGAAATAGTTTTCTCCCCCACTGCCAGCCCGCCTTCTGGTGGGTTTCCCCCTTTTCAATACACGATAAACAGAATTAAGGCCTCCTCCTGAGGCCTCCACAATTTCTCATTTGCCTGCCACAACCGTCGGGGCAAGCTGCTGCTGACCAAAGGCTGCATATTGTTACGACGTTCGCCTCTCGGCTCAGAACTTTTTTGCAATGGCTTCAATAAATTCGTCAACTTGCTACATTTATTGCCAGCCGCAAACAGAATTTAAATTGAAAAACAATTTGCAAAACAATTTACACAAATGTTTCTGGAGTGCATATTGTTGCGTGCAACAACATGTAGCAGCCTCAGACCGAGGATGCTCTGGGCCAGTGAGAGCCTTCCGAGAGTTTGGCTTTTGTTTCATTTTTTTTTTGTAATGAAAATATTTATGATATTCGGAGCGACTTTATTGCCTACATATTGCCAAAGCATATTGAAAACTTCTTTACTCAATTTCATTCT